TTAGTTACAAGTCTTTGGTATGTTGCACCTGCATTTTTAAGACCAAAAGGCATTACTTTGTAACAGTAAGTCCCCTTGTCTGTTATAAACGAAGTTTTTTCTTCATCTGCGGGATCCATCTTGATTTGGTTGTATCCTGAGTATGCATCTAAAAAACTTAACAACTCATGCCCTGCAGTAACATCAATTAGTTGATCTATATGAGGTAATGGGGAAGAGTCTTTAGGACAGGCTTTGTTAAGATCTGTATAGTCTACACAAACTCGCCATTTACCGTTCTTTTTAGGTACTACAACAGTGTTAGCTAACCAATTAGGATACTTTACCTCGCGAATAGACCCATTCTTTAATAATTTTCGCACCTCATCTTGAATCACCTGATTTTTGAAAGTACCTTGCTTTCTTTTCTTTTGTTTGATAGGTGGATAAGACGGGTCTTCATTTAACTTGTGAGTCATTACCTCCGGTGGTATACCTGTCATATCAGAATGGGACCAAGCAAAATAATCTGCATTAGCTTTTAAAAATTCAATCAACTTACGTTTCATATCCGGGCTGAGATTGGCTCCTATGTAAACTTTTCTTTCTGGCCAGTGTATAAACAGTACTACAGCCTCCAGCTTTTCTATCGTTGTTTTGATGTTTTCATTTTCTTCTGGTTCTTGAATGGTATCAGGCCTTGAATCCGCATCTGTTTGCCTTTGTTCAGTTGAGGTTGATGTTATAATGTCCTCAACTGGATTCTGTAATTGCTATTTTTCTTCACCCCTCGCACTTAAATCTGCCACGGAGTTGATGCTCCTGGATGTCTGTTGGTCTCCCCGGATTTGACATATTCCCCAAAGCGCTGGAAATTTAATGACTTGATGCAAGGTTGATGGAACAACATCCATATCGTGGATCCATGGCCTTCCGAGAATTATGTTGTAAGCCATTTCCATCTCCACTACTTGAAATTTTGTGTCTTTGACGACACCTTCTGCGAATGTAGTAAGCATCACTTCCCCTTTCGTTACAACACTGGAATTGTCAAATCCTGACAAAGTATGTGATTTTGGTACCAATCTATCTTCTGCTTGCATCTCGCGTAGTACTCATAACAAAATAATGTTCACGGAACTGCCTGGATCAATTAAAACTCGTTTCACGTTAGTGTCATGTATAAGTAAAGATATTACCAATGCGTCGTTATGTGGAGTTAATAGACCCTCGGCATCTGCGTCATCGAACGTAATATTTTCTTCCTCTAAAACATGTCGCAGCCGCTTCCCGTGAGTAATTGTTACTTTGGAAACCTTATTGGCTGTTGTATACATCACACCATTGATTTCTTCTCCACCAGTGATAACATTAACGGTTCTTTTGAGAGAAGGTGGTTTGGGGGGTTCTTGCCTATTTTTCATGTATACTTGTTTACCTTTCTCACTGAATAACTCGGTAAGATACCCCTGTTTTAACAAATGATCAACTTCACTCTGCAAAAACCTGCAGTCTGCCGTTTTATGCCCGTGATCGTTATGAAATTCGCACCAATGATCAGGGTTTCGCCTGTTTGGATTCGACCTCATCTCCTTTGGCCATCGTACCTTGTCTCCCATGCTTCTTAAAACAGCCACGAGTTCAGAAGTGCTCACGTTGAAATTATAACCGCCAAACCTTGCCTTTAGACTTCTATCATCATATCGTGACTCACGTGTGCTTCGATCATTCCCAAATCTTGATGACGAACCTGACTCTCTATTCCTTGATCTGTGATCGTACCTCTGATTGTCCTGTTTTGACCGTGAGTCTCTTCCCGTAGGTCCCATGTATGGCTCATACCTGTTTTTCCGGACCTTTTCTCGTTTTTCGCCCGTCTCGAACTTACCTCTTCTTCTTTTTGATGCCGTGAAATAATATCTTCTTCAATCCTAAGCTTTGTGATATACCTGTTGTAAACGTCATTCCACGTTGTAGCTGGGAATTCACGAAGGCTTTCCTTGAGTCGCCTTGTAGCTTTTAAGCTCTTTTCATTCAAATTGCTTGTGAAAGCTATAGCTGCCCAATTATCAGGTACACGCGGTAATGTCATTCTTTCACGTTGGAATCTCTCCACGAATTCCCTAAGCAATTCTGAGTCCCCTTGTTTGATCTTGAAAATATCTTTCATTCTTTTTTCGACTTTTTGAGCTCCTGAGTGTGCTTTGATGAAAGAATCTGCAAGCTCAACAAAAGAATTTATAGTATTTTCGAGTAAAAGAGAATACCATGTTAGCGCTCCTTTAGTAAGTGTTTCACCAATTTTTTTGACTAATACTGATTCAATCTCCTGCTTAGTCAAATCGTTGCCTTTTACACCTGTTGTAAATGCGGTCACGTGGTCTCGTGGGTCTGTTGTTCCATCGTATTTTGGAATATCAGGCATTTTGAATTTCTTTGGAATTGGAAGGGGAGCTTCCAGGGTTGTTGTGAATATTTATCCATATCTACCCCTTTGATTACGGGTGGCACCCCGGGTATTTGCTCTATGCGGTCACTTTGCTCATTGAGCTGTTTCTGCAATGTTAGTACTAAATTTTGTAAATCTGAATTAACTAAGTTACCTGGTTCTCCCTCCTGTGATTCGCTGGGGGTTCCACCATTACCTAAATTAACAAGCCCGGAACGAGGGTTCTCCAGAGTGTTGTTATTTGGAGTGGGTGTGGGTGGTGCAGCAGGTAATTGGCTAACAAAAGCCTGAAGAGCTTTATTGACCTGTGAGGCAATAAGTTTTTGCAAGGCCTCATCCATAGCTTCAATATTTTCGAATTGAGCCTGCCCATCTGTATGAGATCCATCAGGAGTGCCTTCACGAGACCGCTGTGGAGAGCCTCGTGGAGAAGGAATCAGTACGTTATTGTTCTATGGATCTCCCTGAAGTTGTTGGTTTGTTTGGTTTTCTTGGTTTCCTTGAATATTGTCATTGTTGTTCGACATGGTTGATGCAACAAGGAAAGTTAAGCTAAAATAGAATGGATTATCAGATTCCCGGTAACGGCCAACTTGTTTAACCAAAAAATGGAATTTTGACTAAAGCTATAATTTAGAAGAACACGGGTTACTGATAATCGCAAGAATGAATAAAAGAAAGCAATTCGGATAGCAAGAATATAATCAAGAAAAACAAGTAAACCAAAGTTTATTCAGATAGTCTTTTTTTTTTACAATTGATCAATTATCTCCCCTTTATAGGTACCTTGGGGATAAGTGTTTTGCCTATGTCATAATAAGGCTATTATGGGCAATTAAAGACATTAAATACATTAAATACTACGTTGCATAATTATTATATTTAATACAGATTCTCTAACATTTTTGGTATTTAATGCTTACTAAATACTGTATCTGGACTCTCGTGTGCTGTCAGATTCATTCTCTTTGATTAAATGGCTTGAACAGGTAGGAGCGTTGCCTCTTTTTGAATAACCGCTCCTGCCTCTACTTTTGCTTTCTGCTCGTTACCAGTTGTAATTCTTTGACCAATCTATATGTCACGACACGTCATCTTTGTATCGTATCTCTTTAATATGTAAAATCAATTTTTTCCAATACACAACTCTTTCACTCTTTCACACACAGCAACAAATGTCAGAATGATAAGAAGAAGACGATCGACAATAAGAAGACGATCATATTCCTCGTCTTCTTCTTCTTCTTCTCCTCCTCCTTCTTCTTCTCCTTATTCTTCTTGTTCACCATATTTCTTCTTGTCAAGTTTTAACCCTACCACTGCTTCTTCTGATTCTTCAACGTTTGGATATTCTTCAGGGTCGGTCGCCGCCGGCGATACTGTTCTCGGAGTCGGATCGAGTTCTCCTTCAACTCCAGCAACTTCTACTAACACTTACACATTTTTTACTGGTTCTCTTTCGCCTTTTGAGTCCTCTGCTCCAGTAACTGCTCCTTCAAACACCACAACAGCAAAGCCTACGAGTACAGATATTCCAACTAATTCGTCGTCTTCGGTTTCAACAAATAGTACATTGACAGCCGCAACGTCGTCTTCACTACCACAATCAATCGTCTCTGTACCGGATATTGGTAAAGTTTTTTTTGTTTTTTCGTTTTTTGTTTGTTTTTTGTTTGTTTTTTGATGTTCAATGTTTAAGCTCTGTGAAACTCGTAATACAATGAATCTAGCTTAATTAATGAAAGTTTAATTCATGATTAGTTTATCTTCGCTGACACTATCTGTCTTACTCACTCGGTCTCAATTTATTCAGACTTGTTTGATCGAGCACGAATTTTAAGGAAAAATTAAATAATTTTAGAACTTGTGGTATAAAAAGATATAAATATGTATGCGGCTATAAATTAATTATTGATGTTGAAAGATATTTTTTGATAGACTAAAAAGGAAATTCACATAAATTGAGACAAATGGAGTAATTTTTGTAATCACTACAGAGAGAGAATTAATTTTCTAGTTGTTTCATTGGTTCAATAACAAGTCCAGGCAAAAACTAAGTCCATGTCCACTAGTGGGGGCTTCTTATTCTGTCGCTGTATGTATTCTAGTGTTGCTATACATAGCATTATTTATGAGAGAAGTGAATAGTTTTCTAACTGCTCAGAATGATGTACTTTGGGGAAATATATTCTTATAAAATAGAACAATGATGTGCTTTAGGGAAATATATATATCATTATAAAACAAAACAATGAAGTACTTTAGGGAAATATATTTGGGGTAGAAGAAGCTGTAATTTATAGGAAAGGGCAAAACATACTTTCTGCCCGTTACATGTTTGAATTTATAGTACAGGAGTACAACCATCTTATGAACAGTAAGGATTAGTATAGTGTCTTTCAAATTTATGTTAGGTGACAACTTATCCTAACTGGGGTTTAATCCTATGTTGCTCATTTCCTTCAAAAATGCTGCCCGGCGTTTCCGATCATCCAAAACTAATGTGTTTTATGGAGGATCTGACAGGGGGTGCTGCGGCATTTTAGGAGGATCCGAGCACCATAGGTTAAACTGACTACAAGTTCCTCTTCCAATCATTTAAGATATTTTGCATATGGTTGCTGGAATGTTTAGGTTCTTCTGCTACCGCCTGAGGGTAGGTTTAGATGATCAAGATGGAGATGTTCACGGTAAGAGTGAGCAAGGCATTAGAGCAGCTGCCAGCCAGTGGTGAATGACCTTTAGTTCCTGTCTGGTGATGAAGAAATCACTGAGGTAGAGAAAGTTACATGATGAGAATTAGGAAGTAATACAAAATATTGTGATTAATGTACAGACTTATGTTGTCCATCTCGCTCCGTGCAACAACACTGTTGTTAAAAGAAGCAGGAGTGCTGGTTAGCTCGTAGGTCGTAAAGAATGAGCCACAGGAGTGTGGCTTCGAGGTGGCTTCATTGCCTGGGAAAATGGGAGAAGATGATTTCAATGAGATCCCAGCCATGCAAAGGTTATTGCTGATGCCTAAATTAGAATTGGAGTTCTTCATGAAGTTCGAAACAAAAGAATAGAAAAAAGTTTCTATATGGCTTCCTCATTTTGAGACATTATGGCTTAGTGGTCGACCCAAGTAACAAAGAAGAAACCCCATAAAAACTTAGGGGGGCAGTAGTAGAGATGAATTTGGGAGAGTTAATGGTGGAGAGTAATTACTCATACCTTTGCACAAGGTTATGTGTTGCCATCTAATTGATCATAGGTAATGGCTCCGATTCTTTCTGGTCGTAGTTAGTGATGTCATCCGGTGCTTGCCCATGCACTAGTCTGTCCATATCCATGCCATTTTGTGTTTTTGTTTGTTATGGTTGTGCCATCTGTGACTTAATGTCATGAAGTAGGACAATTTTTAGGCAAATCGCCAAGTTGCTAATATGCAGCAGGCATGTAAAACAGTTCATATAAAGGTTCTCAGAACTACCTTCAACTTGACCTTCCCTGTGGCCTTTGGTGTGACCGGGTCTTGGTTGATATTTGGTAGCTGTATGTGTTTTGCAGTTCTCTTTATTAGACTCATTCCTTTGCTGCTTTACGTCTTTTTTTATTGTTCCATTGCCTGTATGCGTCTCTGTTTTCCTGGCTTCCAACAAGTATGCCTCTTCTTCTTTTTCTTTGCTTGACTTGTGTATTCTCAGAATTACAAGATGAAATGATTTCTTTCCCACATAGAATAATTATCTTCGAACTCCACACCGAACTCAGAATCTGGAAGTGTCTGCCCCATGTGGTAGATACCTGCTTTCCCCTTTTGTGTAGCTTATCTCAATTTAGGTCTGCCTCGGTTTTTCTTTTCATCTGCTAGCCGTTGAGCTACTTGAGTATTATAACATTTCTATGCCCCTGATTTTCGCAATGCCAGGAGATCCATTTTTTTTCATATAAGTTTTTCTGTAATCATGGGTATGAAGTACAGTGTCATTTTCAAGTTTATTTGACCAAGTGCCTTTTGAATTATCTTGGTTGGTTATCATAGCTCGTAGAAAGTTCTTTAAACTCAAGTGCCATTCCAATAATCTTGGTTTTCACAGCTTGTAAGGAAATTTTTAGTTTTGTACTACTTGGCGAGTGGCCTATCTCTATGAGCCCCGGCTCAACTCAGCCCATAGGAAAAAGATCAAGTGTCTAGCTCGCCTTGCTGGTACATCAGCTTTTGTGTTGATTCATTAGAGAGGTCCTTGCCGGAGACAGAGGCATTTCTTTGCCGGTGGAGCTGATGTTTACACTCTCCTACATGACTGCATTTGTTTTTTAAGTCAACTAAGTGACATTATTACTTCCCAACATTTCATGTTGTTTTTTTTGTTTATTTGCATTAACAGACCCTGCTATTTGTTCCCCGGAGCGGAATGAAGTTGCTGCAATTTTGGCAAGCCAATGTGAGAAGCTTCTGTCCTGCCAAGCTGCCAGGCGAGCTCAGCAGCAGGTCTTTGGAGCCACGTGGTCCGAAACACCAAGTTCAAGCAAGCCCGTCAATGATGATACTCTTACACCTGCTGCTACTGCTGAACAGAAACATGGGGAGTCCAAGCCGTGCAGTGTTCCTATGACCAGCACCCCTTCAACCTCCACTCATTCAGCTCCATTGGACTCAAAGTCAGGCAGCTCAGTGCTCCGCAGCTCGCAGGCTGCTGAGGAGCAGCCTTCCTGTTCATCGGTCGATCTTCTGCACTCAACAATCGGGATGTGGGAACGGGTTGTCGCGGATAAGAAGACAAATCAAGAGGTCACTGAAGAGGGGCTTCGTCACTTCTACGAGGTCAGTTTTCTCTTCTTTTTTTCTTTCTTTCTTTCTTGATGAAGTTAGCCTCTCCTTCCACCTTTGTTTCTTCTCTCTTTTTTGTTTCTTGACCTCTTTCCTCCCTTTTTGTAGGGCATCAACTATTTTTGTCTTCAGTCTGAACGCCTCCAAGTAGCAACTGCCAAGTATAACGAGGCAGCAAAAGCGAGTGATGACCTGGAAAATGCGATGGCTTCTTTGAAAGATAAGTTGGCAGAAGCCGATCGGAAGCTCGAGGACTCTCAGAAGGAGAAGGAGAGGCTTGGACATGAGTTAGCTGGGGCTGCAAACACAATCACTGCTCTAACTGGTGAGAAGGAATCCCTTTTGCGGGTCCAGACGATCCTTCACCAGAAGATCGTCGAGCTGGAAAAGGAGTTGGAGGAGGTCGGTCCTGCTGCTATCCGGAAATACAAAGCTTCCTCTTTGTACAGACAGGAACTCATGGAGTATGCTGCTCCTTACATGGGAAAAGGGGTGAAGCTGGCCATAGAGAAAATCAAGGCTAAAGACACTACTTTTGATCCCAAAACCTACGGCCTGGAGATATACATGCTTCCTCCAGAAGCTGATGTCGATGAATTCTCGTCTGAGGAGGAAGGTGATGATGGTGCCGAGCAAGAGCACAATGAGGTGAATCCAAGTGCTCGTGCTCGAGATTTAGCTGAAGGAGCAAGTTTATAAGACTTTGATCATAGATGTGTCGTTGGCATAAGTGCCGAATAGGCAAAAGTTCCCCCGAGCACAGCTTGAAGCTCTTTCTATTTTACCTATGCTTGCTTATGCTAATGCAACTTAGGTGGTTCCTCTGTCTCTGAACAAGTATGTTTTGTGCTCCACTTGGAGGTGTTAATAAAGTATATATGATTGAATGTGCTAAGATCAGATCTCTGCAATATATAAAGTGTTATTTCAGGATTGCTGGAATTGTTAGATAACTCATTTTAGTAAAGATTTTTTCTTTTTTGCAAGTCTAGAAAGTGAAAATTCAAATTGACATGATGTAAGTAATGTTTACACTGTTGGGGTTTTAAGCATTAATATGGCTTAAAAGAGGGTGAATGGGAAATGGAGGGAAATGAAATTTTTAAGTGAAATTTTAAGTTTTCCCCTTGACAAAGGGACATTGTCCCATATTGGAAGAGGAAGAAGTTTTTGATGGTATATAAGCAATTACTCTTCTTCTAGCTCTTAAAGAGTTGAGAAGAAGGCAAGCCTCGCGCAGCCGTCGTAGTCGTCGCTCGGCTTCGGCTTCGACTTAATGATTGATTGATTGATTGATTGATTGATTGATTCGGTCAATTGATTGATTAATTTTTTGGACCAAATTTATTTGTTAATAGTGTTATAAAACAATAAATGAAGAAGAAGAGAATTGCAGAGAAAAGTAGAGGGAGAGAATTCTTATTGATTTTGGATGATTTACAATGGAATAAAACCCTCTATTTATAGGGAGAGGGTGACTTAGCCACCAAGCAATGAACCCTAGAATCTCTCTAAATATGGACATTCACCATAAATAGAAATCTATTTATAACACTCCCCCTGAATGTCTATTCAATAGATAATGTGCCTCGTTAAAACCTTAACTAAAAGAAAACCCAATGGGAAAAAAAATTATAGAAAAGAAAAAAGAGTACGCATATCTAACAATACGCCTTTTGGTTGCCTCGTTAAAAACCTTGCAAGGAAAACCCAGTGGGACAAAACCTTGTAAGGGAAAAAGAGTACAATGCGTATTAACTCCCCCTCACGATAGCATCACTTCACATCCTTAAGCATTTGCATTCCAATCTTGTGCACCATCTTCAAAAGATCTTTGGTAGATATTTGATAAACAAATCAGTCATATTAACTTGAATGAATATATTGCACCTTGAAATCATCATTCTTGATAGAGATGAATTGTCTTCATATGATCTTGTTGGAATCGTCAGTTCAATATCTTCACATAGGGGTGAAAACTCTTGCTATCATATTATCATGCTTATAGTTATAGCAAGATACATATATGCACAAATTGCATTTAGGATATAGTACTTCATGACCATGAATTCTATATGCTTTAAGCAATTTAAATCCTTCAAGGATTTTTAAGTCATATAAGCCATATAATAGACTTTAGATGCATATCAAGTTTTCATGTCATGCTAGACATATAAGATATCGAAAACTGATTGCACATATCATTGGCTTTATACTTTCAAGTATTTGAACTACATGTTCAAAACTACATGTCTTTCATATGAATTCAAATTATACTTGAATTGTGGCTCTTCCATTTGGCCAATATTTTTGTGTCTATATTCGATAGACTTAAGATCCTCATCTATCTTAGCGCTATGATAGATGTCGTCGACAAATATTTTATATCGGTTTCAATATTTTTTCATAAAGACATAACATAGAGATCTCTTCATTCATATTTTCAGGTACCTGAATCTCTCTTGAGATTTTATGAAGTGTTATGTCATGTGATCTTCTAGATCACTTGCATCCTTTATTATGATCATTTGCTCATCTTCTTTATGAAGAAGTTTATTTGAAGCCGATTTGTCTATACGCTTTAAGTGTACCATAGACTTTGTCCTTCTAGGACTTAATAGGAGTATTTGCAATGAGAATATAGTTACTTTCTTTGGGTCAGCAAATGCGTCTGGCATGCTTTGCAATATATTGCAATTGAATTATCCTTTTATGAACTTCAAGTTCATATTATCTTATTCGAGGATCTAGATGTATAAATGATAATTCATTCCACGTAACCTTTTCTCAACTGTTTATCATGTCTCCCCCTCATGTTAGAAAAACTAACCTGTTTTCTCAACTTTGAAAACCCATCTTTGTGCGTTATGGTGTTAATCAAAATATACACCGCACATCAATAATAATAAGATGGAATTATTTGGTTCCTGACCATGAACCACTTGTGAGGGGAGAAATTAATATACTTTCGTATATAACGTATATCAAACTGGTATATAAAACTTTGTTCTCATAAGTAATTGTTTAGCTATTAAGTGGAGGATCTCAATAAATCATTTTGCTAAACCAGCTGTGATGTAGACCAACTTATCAAGATGAACTTCTTGAATAGAAAATCTGGAATATGCTCTAAATTAAATTATTGAGCAAGTACCTCGCAAACACCATGTTGCGGGTTAATAATAATCGCACATGTAACCATCTCATAGATGCATCTTATGTGGTATACATGGCAGGTGAATGGGCCCATATTCACCTTTGATATTTCCAGCATTCATGGGATTCAATCCCAATTTTAGTTGATCTATTAATTAATGAGAACAAGCAATATAAGAGAATTCGTAAAGAAGTTTCTAGTTCTTTAATATTTACCCATGTGAATTCTCTATTATTTTTGCACATCATACATGAATTAACATGGCTAAACCAAGTATGCCAACTGGATAAATTATCAATATTGATAAACTTCAGGTTTACACCATGATGTGTGCAATTATGAATAAACTCCAAGTTTATTATGATAAGGGTTTTTATATCAATAAATATCTACTTCATTGTGGTATTCTTTTGTTTATGTAGTACAAATTGGAGAATAAAGCGGGTAGCTTTTCACATACATATTACCCCGCTACAAGATGTAGTAATAGAAGATATTAAATCTTTCCTTTATTTATAGTCTCAATATAATCAACCGCTTTCGCGTATACTTTGGAAACTGAATAAGTTTCTCTGAGACTTACTACAACACAATACCTTATTGGTAATTAATTGTGTTTCTCCAAAATAGTATAATTGGCTCTTGCAGAGTTCTCAATTAATTTTGTAGTACCACATATTCATCAACACCCATATGGTGAATATCTCTTTTAAAGAGAAAGTTATACCATTATGGTTATGGTCAAAATTATATGCAAGGTCTGTTTCTTGCATTACCGTTGACTTTTAATAATCACAATGCCAAAATATTTTGGCGTACAATAGGTACGTGACCAATGACCATTCATGCCATAATAATGACATTATTTTCTTATATCATCTCAAACCTCCTTTTAGAGGCGAGTGTGGTATATTCACTACCACTAGCAAATTTATACTCTTCCAAGAATGAATATGTATTCATAAATCAGGTGTTTTCACATTCACATCATGAATGGACCATAGTCATCCGTATGTGCTTTATGAAACCTTATGTCAAATCGATGACAAACATTAATTTCATAGAGTGAAGGCTTATTTTGAGAATCCTTATTATTCTTATTACCATGATAATGACGATTATAATTTCGTCTATTACCACGTCCACATCCATTGATACCTTCATAGTAATAATTTTGTCTTCTTTCAGACTTATCACATACTGCTATCGCATTCTCTTAAGGGAATAGAATGGAGCAAATTCAATGGGACGGGTTTTCACTTCTTGTGCTCACGATCATACATGACTTTGACCATGGCAAGACATAGAAATTTTACCACTTCAAGTGGTTATAATTTCTTACAAACTCCATTAGAGTTATAATCAAACTTTGTTGTCTTTGCTTGTATATAAAATCAAACTATAGAATTTCAAGAATTTAAAGAGAAAAATAAAGTAAGATACTTACCTTAAATCCAGAATTTAATCATGAAGGAAATTCATAGAACAATTGACAATCATTATGATCAACCCCAAAGCTTCTACTCAATTGGTTAGAGCCTCGTGCTGATAACGTGTTATAAAACAATAAATGAAGAAGAAGAGAATTGCAGAGAAGAGTAGAGGGAGAGAATTCTTATTGATTTGGGATGATTTACAATGGAATAAAACCTTCTATTTATAGGGAGAGGGTGACTTAGCCACCAAGCAATGAACCCTAGAATCTCTCTAAATATGGACATTCACCATAAATAGAATTCTATTTATAACAAATAGTAAATATTAAACAGAAAATTATTATTAAATATTCATTTTAATAATAAAATATTAATATTAAAATCCAACGGAACCGTTTTCAGTTTTTCAGTTGTGTAACTGAAAATTAAACTTCCCTCTTTAATTCCCGATTTATTATTAAATAAATTAGCCATTTATGTTATGGCATTTATGCCATGGCCGTTTTGCATAAACAGCCATTCTGAAGAGTTGCACCTCTTTATTTTTTAGCCCAACATTGGCTATAAATACAAGTCCATTCTCTCAGAATTTCCATACGATTTTCTGAGTTCTCCTCCTTTCTTCTGCATTGTTTATCTTCAAAGAAAGCAACAGTAAGTGTGATTTGCTACTGAACTTTGTGTTAGCTGAAACACTGGGTTTGAAGTACCACTACACCAGTGTGTAATTCGTTCTATCCTGGGAGAAAATAATCCATAACCTTGGTACTAGGTGGGGATTAAATTCCTTAAGGAAACACTGTAAATTCAGTAAGCTCGGATTAACTTTTGTTTCGTTTACATTTTCTTTTTATATATTGTTTTATCTTTTTCAGAATTAGTTTACAAATACAACTTACTAACAAGCTTAAGGAATATATTATATATATTTAATATATTTTCTTATTTGTGTTATATTCACTATTCTGGAGATTAAAACCTTTGAGGTTTTCTACTCCGCTGGAGATTAAAATCTACGTGATTTTAACGTTTGCTTGTGTCATTCTTTTACAAAAATGACTAATGATAATGGAAACCAAGTTGTTCCAATGGTGACTGCCAATGCATCGACAAGCCGAACACCGGCATTGGCACCGGCGGAGAAACCCGAAAAAATTTCCGGGTTAGATTTCAAGCGATGGCAGCAGAAGATGTTCTTCTACTTGACTACTTTAAGTCTGCAAAGTTCATTAAGGAAGATGTTCTTGTTCTGCCCGAAGAAACTCCAGAGAATGAACGCTTTCTCGTGATTGAGGCATGTAAGCATTCTGATTTTTTGAGCAAGAATTATGTTCTTAGCGGACTGGAGGACGATCTGTATAATGTCTACA